AGGTTCGAGTTTGAAGCCACCAACAACGAGGCCGAGTATGAGGCCGTCGTTATTGCTCTTGAGCTAGCCCTTTGCCTAGAGCTCGAGTTCGTAAAGATATTCAGGGATTCACAACTAGTGGTCGGACAGATTGAAGGATCATTTGAAAGGAAGGAGGAGAAAATGAGTTTGTACTGTATGAAGGTTCAGGATCTTCAACGAAAATTCAAGAGTTGTGAAATTACAAAAATTGCTCGAAAGGACAACGGAAAAGTCGACGCATTATCCAGGCTTGTGTTCATGGGGGTAGACGGCCTTGACAGAACGGTTCACATTAAAATCATCACAGAACCCAGCATCAGTCAAATCCTCGACATCATGGACATTGACAACGAACCATCCTGGATGGACCCGATCATAGAATTCATCACAAGCAGAAGTCTACCAAGCGATGCCAGGTTGGCCAGAAGCATCAGAGCCCGAACTCCTAGGTACTACATGATCAGCGGTGTCCTCTTTCGTAGAAGTATTACTCTTCCATACCTAAGGTGCCTCAGGCCATCAGAATCATCCCAGGCCCTTGCTGAATTTCATGAAGGTGTGTGCGGGAATCATCAAGGAGCCAGGGCCTTGGCCTTTAAACTCGTACGATATGGATACTACTGGCCAACTATGAAAAAAGACGCCTCAGAATATGTTAAAAGATGTGATAGGTGCCAGAGGTTTGGTAATGTTATCTACTCACCAGCCGATGACCTTAACAACATTAACTGTTCGGCCCCGTTTGAACAATGGGGAGTTGACATCCTCGGCCTCTTTCCTGTGGCAAGAGGTCAATTAAAGTTTGTTGCTGTAGCAGTAGAGTACTTCACAAAATGGGTAGAGGCCGAACCTCTCGCCACAATATTGGAGCCCAAGCTAAGAGCCTTCACTTGGAGGTCTATCATTTGCAGGTTTGGGATACCAAAAGTCCTCATCACCGACAATGGCAGGCAATTTGGCAACCAACAGTTTAGAAACTTTTGCTCAAACCTTGGGATTGATCACCGTCTGACATCAGTTTCGCATCCTCAAGCAATGGTCTGGCCGAGGTAACAAATCGAATCATATTGCAAGACCTCCGAACAAGAAT